TGGATCAATACTTACATATGAATTTAATTGCTAAAGAAAGAAAAAAATCCCAATACAGTCTATTCCTCCTTCTCTAGCAGACTGCTCCCCTCATCCTTATTCTCTGACAAATCTTCAAACTGTATCATTGGCTGCTTTCCTCCTGCCTGCAAACATGCCTATATCTCCTCCATCTTAAAACAAAACCAAAAAAACCCTCCCTTAATTTATCCATCTACTACTAGCTACTATCTACAATCTCATATCTCTCTTCCTTTTTATGGCTAAACTCCTTGAGAAAGTCATTTACAATAGGTGCCCCCACTTCCTTTCCTCTCTCTTCTTAACTCTCTTTATCTGACTTCCAACCTCATCATTCAACCAAAACTGCTCTCTCCAAAGTTACTAATGATCTCTTAAATGCCAAATCCAATGGCATTTTTGCAATCCTCATCCTTCTTGACCTCTCTGCAGCCTGACACTGTTAACCACCTTCTTTTTGATACTCTCTTCTCTCTAGGTTTTATAAGCACTACTCTCTCTTGGTTTTATTCCTATTCGAACACACTTTCTGTCTCCTTTGCTGGATCTCTGTCCAGGAAATACTCGAAACGTTAAAGGTAGGTGTCCTCCAAAGCTCGATCTGGGCCCTGTTCTTGTCTCCTTCTACACTATTTCACTTGGTGATATCATCAGCTCCCATGGAATTAATTACCATCTTCTATGCTGATTCTGAAATCTACTTAACCAGCTTTACCCTCTCTGAGGAACTCCAGTCTTGGCATCTCCAATTGCCCACTGGACATCTTGAACTGGATGTCTCATAGATAATCTTAAACTCAACATGTCCGAAACTGAACTAGTTATCTTCCCCCCCTCCAAAAACCCTCTCCTCTTCCTAACTTCCTTATTCATGTTGAATGTACCTTCATCCCACCAGTCACCCAAGCTCACAACCTAGATGTCATCCTTGACTCTTCCCATTTTCTCCCTCCTACTCCTTTATCCAATCTGTTGCCAAGACCTACTGATTTTACCTTTGAAACATCTCTCCTATGTCTCCTTCTCTTCTCTGCTGCCACTATCACCCTGGCCCAAGCCCTCATCACCTCACACCTGCACTATTGCAATAACTTGCTGTTGGCCTCCCTGTCACAAGTCTCTCCCCAATCCAGTACATCCTCTACTCAGCTGTCAAATCCTGAGTTTGACATTCAAAACCCCTCATAATCTGCCCCCTACCACCACCACTACCACCTCTCCAGTCTTCTTACACCTTACATCCTGCCATGTATTTTGCAATCCAGTGACACTGGCCTCCTTGTAGTTCCTCCAAGACACTCATCTCCAAACAGAGCATTTTCAGTGGCTGTCTCCCATGTTTAGAATGTTCTCCCTCCTAATCTCTGCCTTCTGATTTCTCCCTTGCTCTCTCCATCCTCTAAAATCCCATCCTCTACAAGAAGCCTTTCCTAAATCCCCTTAATTTTAGTGCCTTCTCTCTGTTAATTGTCTCCAATTTATCTTCTACATAGCTTGGTTTGTATGTAGTTTTTTGTATGTTATCTTCCTTACTAGACTGCAAACTCCCTGAGAATAGGAACTGTCTTTTGCCTTTCTTTGTATCTCCAGTGCTTAGCAAAGTGCCTGGCACATAAAAGGTTCTTAATAAATGCTTACTGACTGACTAAAGCAGTAAGCCATGAATCAGTAAGTTATTTGCCACTGTATATAATTAACTGGTGAAAAACTACATGACTTAGTGGATTGAGAGCTGGCCTTGGAGCCAGGAAGACCTTGGTTCAAGTCCCCTCTCTGACATATACTTGGTGATCCTGAGCAAATCACTTAATCTCTGTGATCTAAGTAACTAAGACTATAAATTGCAGAAAAGGTGTCTACCTACATTAGTGGAAGATGTTTCTCCAACCAGTAGTTTCCCATGAAATGGTAGGTCCAGTTCCTATCCTATAGTTAAGTAGTTCTAAAAGAGATTGCTCTTTTTTTGGGGGGGGGGGGAATTTCACATTTTAGGAAGGAAGTTAATAAGCTGGAAAGCTCTGATGCATCAGAAATACAAAAATAATAATAATAATAATAATAACCAAAGTATTCACTGAGTTGCAGACTTTTACAGCTGAGAATGATCTTTTAGATATGGCATCCAAACAAATTGTGCTATTAGGCTGCATTAAGGCAGGCAAAATGTTGACTGTAATCAAGGACTGCTGAGTCCTTGAGGCAACTCTCTAAGACTATGCAACCAAAGGAGGTGACAATCTGCATTGGCAGAAGAAGTTTCCTGCAGTCAGGGGGGAGAAGGAGAGGGACAGTATTAGAAAGGAAAAAAGAGAAAAGGAGGTGGAAAAGGAGGAGGAGAAGATCAATAAGTGCTAATACAACACTTTAGGAAAGATGTTAATAACCTATTGAGTATCCAGAGGAGGGCAACAAAGTTGGGAAACCACCAGGCTACATGAAAATCAATTGAAGGCTAGGGTATTTAGCCATTAGAAGAGAATACTTAATAGCTGACACAGGTAGATGATTTCAAATGAAAGGTTGTCATGGAGACAAGGGGTATGCTTATCTTCTTTGTCCCCAGAGAACAGAAATGGATATAAATTGTAAAGGGACAAATTTTGGCTTGATTTAATGAAAAACATTTCAACAATTAGAGTTATTCCAAAGTGGAGAATTTCCCAACATGAGGTCTTTAGGCAAAGCCTGACCACTTCTCAGATATGTTGTAGGAAAGATTTTTTTTTCAGGTTGACCTAATGGTCTCTGAAATACCATAAAATAATCTTTGCATGATAGAATCAGGATCCCAAAAGATATGGACAGGATAGAATGAATAAGCTGATTCTAATATCTAGTACAAGTCTCTCACTTTATTAAAGAGCAAAAGTGAAACCCAAAAAAAGATAAGCAATTTGTCCAGGATCAGACAGCTATAATCAGTATCATCTCCAGACTTTGAACTCAAGTCTCTTGAATTTCAGTCCAAAGCTCTTTTTACCACACTAATTATATCCAAGAGTAGATGGATTCATTTCATGCCTGTCTTTTTGAAAGTCTAAAAATGTGTATATGATATCTATGGAAATTTAGTGTTATAAGATCAAAATTATTAAAAATTATTAAAATCAAGTTTAATAAAATATGAGGCAGTAGGGTGTAGTGGATAGGGAGTGAACCAATACATCAGCAAAACCTGGAATCTTGTTCTGCCTCTGATGCATATTGGCTGTATGAATCTGGCTATGTCATTTAACTTTTTTGTGCTCTAACCAACTCTCTAAGACTACATATTGCAGAGAAAAGCGACAACTTTAATTGATAAAAGGAATTTCTCACCTGAGAGTTCCCTATACTTGGAACAGATCAAAAGCCTATCACGGATAAAAGAGAATAATCAAAGTAATTCTTCATCCAGAATAGAACTTTGTTATTTTAAATGCTAGTCCCATAAGCAACTATTTGTTACTGGTGCAATGAGTTCAAAACATTCAAGAAATTCCTTCTATTCAAGCACAGACTTCATCCATAAATGTTACTTTTTACTCTAGCTTTAAAAAAAATTTAAGAATTTGATCTCCAAAAGTCTTGGAAAACATATTCTCCAAGATCACAATGGAAGAAGGAAAGTTGTATTCAGAAGTAAAAACACCACCATGTTTTCAAGTGAAAGGGTAAGTCAGTAATTCAAATTTTAAAGGGAGATGTGATTAAATCACAGCTGGAAAGTAGTAATAAGAGGGCAATACAATGAGGTCAGAAGCATGAGCAGCCAATCAAAGACATAAAAGTGTTTCCTGCAATATTAATAGTCAAAGGAGGAAACCAATCACAGAGATGCAAGCCTTCTTTTGACAGCCACAGAAGCAGGAGAACCAATCCACACACACCGGGGGTTGACAATAAGGCGGGGAAGGAGGTTCATTGAAGAAATTCTTGAGGGTGCAGTTACTACGAACTCCGAACGCAAGTAAAACCACTCGAGGGGTCATAAACACCCAGCATCAAGCCACCTGAAATTCAACCGGGTGCAAAAGTCACCCCCCATAACAAGAAAAGCATTCCATCGCGAAAAGGCCCTGCAACAATCCACAACTTAGAATTCCAGACGAAATGGATCTTAGCACCTTAAATGTCAAACCTTAAAATGAAAAGAGCAGCGACCCTCCCTGACAAGTACCATAACTGGTCGCATATATCCCACTGAAAAATGCAATGTCTCGTATAGAAGGATACAACAAAACAACTACGTGCACCTTAAGGTACTGGGAAGGCAACACTACAAAAAAGGGGGGTCTGCTTTTGCATGCTGACCTGCTTAATGCAATACTGCAGGCTGCAATGTAGTGGTCCCCGTGTCGTCGTCGTCGTCCCGTCTCCCCCCACCCCCTGCAATGCTGCACTACGGAATGCTTATTCCTACCGCACCGGGGATGGGAGGATGGGGGGAAGGGGGAAGACTGAGGGGAAGAACAGGAGAAAGACTATCTTGCAGGGACAAACAGATGTTTGTTTTGAGATCGTTCTACTTCCCCGAAGTAATTTTTAAAAAAGAAAAGGAAACCCGCTGCAACAACAACCAAAAAAAAAAGGAAAATAAAAAGGGGGGAAAAAACAAAAACACCCGGAAAAACAAACCTTTCTGGCCCCAAAGGCCCCCTGTGCACAAACGAGTCAGAGGCACTACGCCAAAGGCGGCCAGCGCATCCCCCTGCGCCATTCCTAGACGCCGCTTACGGCAAGGCCCCCATACGGCAGCGTAAGCGCCGCGGCGAGCTAATCACAACACTGGGACGCAACAACATGGCGGCCGCGAAGGGCTCTGCGCTGCCGGAGAGAGTTTACGCTACTCCGCCGGCGTACGGTCCCATGCGGCGGAGCAGCGGCTGCGCCCTCCAGCGTGCGTAGAGCGCTCCGTGAATGGCGATGCCCGACTGACAATGGGGAGGGGGGAGGGAGGAGGGAAAGGTGGGGGGGATAATAAACACTCGAGTCCCTACCGATTCCTCCTCCTTCTCCATCCCGGTGGGCATCTGGGGCACGGCCCTGTTGATGGAGACGCAGTCGTTGAGGTCGGGCATGTCCTTGCCGCGGTAGATGGGCAGCGGTTTGGCGGCGTCCAGCGCCCGCGCTCGGAAGGAGAGTTTACTCATTGTCTCCCCGCCTCACAGGAACAGCCCGGGCGGCGGCGGCGGCGGCGGCGGGGCGGGCGAGGGGGGGGGAGGGCTCCCGCCGCCTCCTCTCCTTCCTCAGTGCAGCACGGCCGGCCCGCTCCTCCTCCTCCTCCTCACTGCCCCCGTCCACAGCATGGGCGCCCACCCCGCCCGAGAACAACCCACCGCCGCCCGCGGCCGCTTCCACACACTAGATCCGCCGCTCGCCCGCCCGATCCGCTCCCTGCGCCATGGCCAACATGGCGGACATTACCACAGCGGCGGCGAGCGATCCCGGCAGCCCGCGCGAGGGCGCGCCCCCGCCGCGGGGACGCGCCTCGTCCTCTCCCTCCCTCCCCGCCGTCCCCTCCCTCGCTCCCTCCCTCCTTCCTCTCCAGTCGGCTCCCCTCCCCACCCACTCTTTCCTCGGCGCGCCCCCGGCCCGCGGGAGTATGCGCGGGCCCTAGGGCCTCCCAGGGTGAGAGGACTGGCGAAAACCCTGCGACCCACCACCAACCTGACTGCTGTCAGGTGTGCGTGGGTTGCCATGCACCATAACATGTGTTCCCTGCCTCCTCAACGCATCCCATCCGTGCACACCACGGGGGAAGGAGGACTCCTGAAAAGTGCATGCTCACCCTTAGCTCAGCCCATGGGTGCTTAGGCGAAGTAAGAGAGTAAAACAGTCATCATCATAATACCCTATATTTAAACAGTGCTTATCTCCAAGCAGCCCAGAGCACTCTTAATTCAACCTCACTAAGTGCCCAGAAGGTGTGAAAATACGATAGGATTGGTCTACACCGCTTGGTAACAGAATTCCAGTCGAGTCTCCGCTGGCTGGAGCCAGTTTTGCTACCCCAGACCTCTTTTCCTGCACTATTTTCACCTAAAATATTCCTGAAAGAAAGCTGTCCTAGGGAAGCGACCTGCCATTGACACTCGCCTTCCTTGGGGCAATGCCTAAGGCAGTAGTGCTACCGAGGTGAGGGGATTCCGGAGCTATAAATCAGGTCAAGTGGAGCAAGTGCGCTACTCCTTTCACCAAATCCTAGCATCTTAGAGTGTGCAGCTTTTGATGTCACCAGCGCTATCCGAAGGACTTCGAAAGTCTGGAGGATTTTTTTTAAGCTTAAACAAAAGTATAAACCAACTTGTATTGATAAAATGTATTCATGCACAAGGCATTTCACTAGTTGCTGGTAGACTAGAGAGTTGTTTAAAGACATGGTGGTCCCAGTTGGGTTCTAGTTAGGAAGCAAAATTAAGTCCATTTTATCTAAAATTATACAAATTTATGAAAAGCAAAAACAAAAGATGTTTGGTACTCAGTTCTGGAAGGGACCTTAAGGATCACCTGATCCTATCCCTTCATTTAACTGAGGTTAAGGACCCACGATTGCCTAAGTACACTGTAGAAGAGAGAGACGATGTCAAAATGCAACAAATGATTACATGCCAAATAAACTGTACAGAAAAATAATAGTTCAGTTAATAAGAGGAAGAGATCACTTTTAGGCTGGAGTGTTCAAGGAAAGCTTAGAGAAGTATGATTTGAGCTCTATCTTGATGACAGTATTCTTGGCACTTACTTTAGCTGGAGTATCTTGATTAATCTTTAAAGAATTACATAATCCTAACAAAATTCCTAGGAATTCAGTGACAAGTATTATCAAACCTTAATAATTAAGGAAGTAAGGAACAGAAACATATGAAAAGTATTGGGATTGCTCAAGGTCTGATAAGGAAAAGTGAAACTCAATGGTCATTTGTCTGACTCCAAGATTTTTTTTAACAAACGTCTATAAACATTTCCAGTTCATAAATATTTATTAAGCACCTACTGCGTGTCTGTCATTATGGTAAGTGCTAAGATATAAAGAAAGACAAAATCAGTCCTTGCTCTCAAGGAGCTCACAATCTAATGGGGGAGATGACATGCAAATTATGTACAAACTGTATACGAGGTAAACTAGAGAAAACCAATAGAGGGAAGGCACTAGCATTAAAAGAATCAGGAAAGGCTTCCTGTAGAAGGTGGGATTTTGCTGGGAAGAGTGGATAGTCACATTGGGTAGAATAATCAAGCCAGTTTAGAGCACAAAAGCAGTGTCTTAAAGCATTAATCTTTTTTAAGGGGAGGGGGAGGCAATTGGGGTTAAGTGACTTGCCCAGGGTCATGCAGCTAGTAAGTGTCAAGTGTCAGGCTGAATTTAAACTCAGGTCCTCCTGACTCCAAGGCTGGAGCTCTATCCTCTGGTCCACCTAACTGCCCCAAAGCATTAATCTTGTAGCCAGAAAAGATATGGGTTCTAATCCTGCCTCTGACACTCACCATATAATCATGGGCAAGTCTCTTAAAAACTCTGGTTGCGTCATCTGTGAAATGTGGATAATAATACCCATTGTACCAACTTCATAGCCCCATTGTGAGAATCAAAGAAAACAAGGCATGCAAAGGGTTTTGAGAGTCTTAACAACATTATACAGTGTCCCAAAAGTCTGGGTGCAGTTTTAAAGGAATTAAAAGCATAAAACTGCACTGACTTCTGGGAAACCCTGTATGAATGTCAATTATCATTAAGCAATGATGTAATGAGAAGAACACTGGACTTGGAGATGGAAGAGCCAGATTCAAATCTTGATTTCAACCTCTGTGACTTTGGCATAGTCACAAACTCCCTGGACCTCCATTTCTTTGCTCATCTATAAAATGAGGGAATTGGACTAGCTGGTCTCTAAGGTAATGTCGGTCTTTTCTAAATCTAAAATCCTAAACATTTTCCTTGGAAGATGTTTTAAGTAAAAAATGGGAATGTTTCAAACCGGAACTTTTCTTAAGCTGATCTGACTGTGAACACTGCTCTCTGCAGGAATCCCAGGGGTGCAGAAGGGAAGGCATAAAGAAAGGAAAAAACCAAGGAGTTGAGGGTTCAGCACAGAACTGAATATGAGTAATATAGGGAAAGAAAATGCAGTAAGTGGGCTACTAGGATTTTTCCCTGGGTCCCCAGAAATTTTCAAGTGCAAGTAGTCTTGTGCTTCACCAGCAGCTCTGGCCACCTTTCCTGCCCCCCCCCAAATCTCTTTCCCCTCCCCCACACTTCCTCTTCCCTTCCTTTATTATTCACCTTCTTACTTGGGAAAATGCTTTGGATTGCTGAGCATTCCAGGTTGTAAAGTTTCTAACCTAAATGCCCCAAAGATCCCAATAAAGACTCATAACCCATAGCCTAGAGGCTAGATTTAGATCTATTCCATTGTGGATTCTGTAATGGAGGCAGGGGTGGAGGTGAATAAATGGGGAACCAGGACACTTCCTACTCCAGGCTGAGCTAGAGTTCCTCACTGGTCTCTTACCTGAATTCAATTTGGTTGTCCATGCATGTTCCTGTAATGACCCACAGCATTTCTGGTTCCTCAGCCCAACATTTATGAGCCAATAGCAATTTGGGAAGCAAGACAACACATTACTATAAATCATATTAAACTCTGGTATATAGTAATAAGAACAGATTTTTTTTTCTATTAACTCTAAGAAGTTTCCCATCATTATGAATAAGAGGTACTGGACTTGAAGACTGGAAGCCCTAGATTTGAATCCTGCTCCTCAAACTTCCTAGCTGTGTGACTATAAGCAAGTAAGGTGTTTAAGCCCTCTATACCTCTGTTCTCTCGTCTATAGAATTGGGGTAATGAGATCTTTAGTACCTACTTCACAGGGTTATTGTAAGGCCCAAATGAGCCAGTGCATTTGTAAATGATCATGAAACCTTCGTCCACTTAAGTTTCTCACTTAAGTCTCTCTTCTACTGTTGCCATATGGGCAGTTATTATTGAATTAGGAATAAAGAGTTTGAAGGAAACAACACAATACATATTTATCACAGGCAGTCTGTGTTTTCTGACTTCCAGTTCATTACTCAAATTAGTATTTGACTCTTGTTGGTGTCTGGAAAGTCTTTCATTTGTACATAAATATTATTTCTTATTCAACTAAGCCTTTTTCCTAACATATTTGTTGTATTTCACCACTATTCTTGCTGCATAAAAAAGCATATGATTATGGTCTCAACCTCTGAGACTGGTCCTCTTACTAAAAAAAAGTTGCCTGTCAAAAAGAATTTTGAAAGGTTCGGAATAATTATAACACATTCTTACTGATCCGTTCAAATACGTTTTTCTCTTGACCCACAACGAACTGCATACATTTAACCGAAGAAACATAATATGAAGAAAGATGAGGGGATCAGAACTGGGTTTTAAAGCAATATTAAAAATAAAACAGCTGTATATGTGTAATTCCTTAAGGCGAAAAATAAGGAAAGTGAGTCACACAAATTGACTATTCAAGATCAAACAGCAATTTGTTGTGAAAGCCAGAATAGAAGCTCACTGTGCATTTCCCACTCCTGTAACAGGCTTTTTCTAAATAATTGACAAATAACTTTTAAAAATCAAACAATCTGGTTGAGAAAAACAAATAGTCATAGTCGCTATTCAACTATTTAAGAGTTTTGCAAATGTCACATTCTTTCAGATTGGCTCAGTATTTCAACAACCCAATTTAAAGTTAATTAAGTTGGTATGTGGATTTCCTTCCTGCCTCCCGACCTCCCTACATCCCCCAACCCTCACTCCCCAGTTTTACTGGAATAATCACAATCATCAGTGAAGTTCAGTTCTTATCTGTGAGTAATCTGGACATAATGTTTACTTTCCTTATTATAATCAATCAGAAAAATTTCCTAGCTCCCCACATGCCTGTACTGTGGCTGCTCTCAACCCCTGGACTCACTGAAGAGGATGCTATTCATAAGTGTTGATGGGCATTGTCTTATTCGTTTTCTGTTTTCTCTACAGTTAGAATGCCAGGTGGTAAATTCAAGAATGTGATTCAGTCTCTTCTCTCCATCTCTCCTCTCAAACCTGGCTGGTATCACAGGGTGCCACCTTGTGTATAAGCTGACAATTTACTTTTCCAGCTCCATAAAGGATGCAGAAAGCCTCCGAAATTGAACATTCAGGAATGCTCCATGTTTTCTTTATTAAACAACCAAAGGAAGAAAGAAA